AGGATCGAGAGTAGACACGACCTATGACGTTCTGGGAAGAGACCCCCTAGCATTTTCAGGCCTTATGGTTAGCCCACTGCCCGGCAATTTCATGTGAAGAAGTTATCCTCAGTGTTTGCAGACAGCTCTTTCTCGTGCTGTGCTCCACTTCAGCGGTAGGTGCAGGGTACCCCTTCAAGGAAAGGCAAATGAGGGTTGGACGTACGCTCGACAACCTGCGCTGTTATCCATTGCCAAAGCTGCACGCTCAATTGCAACGTATTCCGGACACATCTTGATCTTTGATAAAAGGAATAAAACTTCAAAACTCACTATCAGCGGTGCACCCACCTCCTGTGGAATTTCTTCGGGTGGCAAAGATTCCCCAGCCATTCTCAGACTTTCATTGATCGCTATGGCGATTTGCCTTTGTTCTTCCGCTTCCTCATCGTACAACGGCACGGCATCCGGTGGAAGTAATTGGCCTAGATTGTTCTACTTACAGGTACCTCTGATTTTCGAGCAAGTCCCTTGGTAACGTTATTATTAAACATTGAAAACAACAAAACTGAGCATTACTAAGTATTTAAATACCTATGGGGACATAACCGCCTTGAGAACCGTCATGGCCGCCACTTTGGGAGCTATCACGACGGAAGCTTTCTTGAATAGCAAGTTGCAGAAGCATCTCTTCTTGTTGTTGCATAGACGGATGATCTGAAAACCTTACTCTTATGTGATTGAAAGGAGAAAAAGAATAAAACACTAAAAAAACTCACATATGGAAGCTCCACCACCCTGCAAACTCGACATATCTTGTTCGTCTTCTGGCCACCATAAACTTGCATTGAGATCGTCAACTGTTCTATATGAAGGCGGTATGGTGAAAACATCGTCATCTATGGCGACAGCTGTCACTTTGAATCCGGACTGGAAAGCAAAACATTCGTGGCTACAAACGCATTCAAGGCATCGATTCTCACCATTGTCTCCAGAGGCGTTACAAACGGCCCTGGCTCGTTGATTTGGCCAAACGTGATCTTTGCACTGACGACGTGGAACAGCGGGATCTCTAAAAAGCAAATTTCACATAACAGAGATGTAATGAAGTGAGATCTACCAGACCGACAAAATGTCAAAATCTCACGATGATGTTCTGTAATATGAAAAAGATTGGGCAGGAGCCAAGCTTAAGCAATGAATAGATCATCGCACGATTTCTAGGGAGAGAGGAAGTGAGGGAAGTAATATTCAAAGGAGAAGGAAGCGAGGGAAGGATTATACGAAAAGGGTTCAGTAGGGAAAATTCGGGGAAAAGCTCGAGACAGGAAGGGGTTGAAGGTGAAGAGGATGAACAGTTTCAAAGCATTTATAGGACAACGCGTGCACAAGTATACACAGAAACGGCGACATGTCTCTACCAATTGTAGAGTAAACATCAATATAAACTGAAACAACTGAATGCCCACCAACCGATCCTAACTGGAAAGCCGGCTGGAAGTTGCATCCGTATAAAATTATGCAATCGAGCAAAATGAGCACTATTTGCGGCCATCAGATCCACTATAGGCATTACTTGTTCCTGAGAAAAAAATTACTTCCAACTTTCAAAAAAGAAATTAACATCATATAGGCATACCTGGAAAGAAAGCGGGTAATCTTCAGCTAGCCATAACGTCGCTTTGAAATTATTCGACTTTTTCGTAACTTTCTTAGGTCGACCTTAACAAATGTTCATAGACTTATTCAAGATTATATAAATGAACTCATCATATGAAACTCGTGTCGCTAACTACCGCAGGAACATCAATTAACCCATAACGGACGGCAGTGTATTTTTGCGTGCGCCACCATGTGGCGCACGCCGTCCCTTATGGGTTAATGATTCCAACCAGCTCAACTTTTCAACTTAATCATTTTCTCCATAGAACGTACCACATGGTTTGAGCGAAGTCGTACGCTGCCGTACTATAGCGTTATTAAGTTGTACACTATGCAATTTTATGAATTAGAAACTTAAATTATTCGAAACTGATTGATGTTCTGGTGTAGCAACGTTGTATTCGCGCATCGGTGCGACTCTAGTTTACTGAGGCAACGAGTCAGTCGAGCAATTACTAGCTGAATAAAGTTCCGTCGCCGTCGCAGCTCGCAGTTACTGGTTGACAAGCGATCGCGCGATCAATCGATCATTCGCGAACTATGACCGCGTATAGTACCGCGTTTTACAACGCGTAAGATATGAGATAACTAAGAAATTTGACTGTTTACTAAGATTTCCTCAGCTCACCAATATCTCCATCCAGTGGGAAGTCCTCATCTAAGTACTCGTACACCGTAAGTCCCGTATCCAGTAGATTTTCAGTTGTTGACTCTTCACTAGTTTCTGATCTTACAATTGTGGTCAAGAGATTCGTCAACAGATTTGGATTCTCCTCCTGAAGAATAAACGTTAACATAAAGAAATCAAGTCGTCGAAACAATAATGCAGCAATTAGCAGCAATTCTGCGCTTACCTGTCTTGCACGTGCAGAATCTTCTTCTGACAAATGCTCCTTGCGGGTTTTTGTGACCAGGTTCACGTTTGACGCATTGAATACCTGCGGAACGTTGCATACAGCTCAACAATATAGGATTTCACACAAAATTACAGATAACGACCGTCCCGTGCTCAGCCACGAACTGTGACTCGACAATGAAATCGGAATAAAAATAGAATTCCCTCTTATTGCACAAGATTTTGCATTCCGATTGGACGATTCTCAGCCGCGCCATTACAAAAACTTTGCAAAGACGATAACTTCCGCAGGAAACTGACCTTGCACTCGTACTCATCGATAGTCTCTGTCTTCTCTGTACTACTTATCCAACCGAGTAAACCGCCACGATATGATCGTTCGAAACCGATCTTGTCGACATCAATGAACGTTGTCGAAATGGGCGATGACATTCTGAATCTCACTAATTCAAATTGAAACCTTATTGGAACCACAATTACTTATGCCAAAACGTACCGCATCTGTACAGCTTCATCGGACGGATTAAACTCCTCTAATGTCTCATCGTCATGGAGAGTTTGCTTGGTTGCCTACAACAGTAAATTCGAAAGACTCCAGAAGATTCTAAGAATGAGCTTAATTTTAATGGAATTCGGTACAGGTAAGAGGGGTTTGAAATGCAGCGATACCACTAGTGCTGTCCTCACCAGTCGGATAAAGGCGACTTGGAGTTTGGTTATGGTTGAACTCCCGTTTTGAAATCTAGTCTAACCCCAAAGTTAAGTTCAAGAGAACCCATGACGCTAAAGAAAGAGAATCATCGGAATTTTTGTTACCTTCTTCTTAAGGAACCTCAATCAGAGTTCAACTAACATCGCTTCAAACTGTTATTTACCTTAATAATAATTATAACATTCATCAACTTCGAATATCCTTACCGTTTTCGATTCGTGATCTATAATGATGAATTCTGGCAAGGAATTTTCATCCAGTCGAAAAATATAAGTCTGATTCCCTCTTTTCCAACTGGATGCTTCGAATCCGACTAAGGTCGTGTCGATCCGTACTTTAGAACCTTGTTTATATATCTGTAATATAAATGAAATAAAGGGATAAAGGATAAAGCATTTGCCGTTGATCAATCCCTTTTGGGATGCGGCACGCATTCTACTTCCATTTGTACATTCGTAGTGGCATTTGAATGCGATGTGGCCTATACAATGACTTGCGGGGGCCAGCCGATGTACAAGTCAGTGTTTTTATCCTCCCAGACAAGTCTGGTACCAATTAACCGACCCCGGAGGGATGGAAGGCTTGGTTGGCCCGGGCGACTCACGACCCAGGATTTGATCCCCGGACCGCTCGCGTGGTAAGCGTGCCACTTGCCACTACACCACTTCCGCCCTCCATAATTGATAGAACCTCATACAATAGGCTATACGAATTTAAGTGAAGTCGTAAACGCAATGAATGACAAAAGAAACCACCTTATATGTATCAGATGGACACATTCGACTGATGAATGGTACCCAACTTGCGAATTCCCAGCCCATTTCACAGTAGAAATCCGGAGAACCCTAAAGGAAACGCTCATAGAAAATCAATACATACTCTGAAGTATAGAAAACAAAAGAAATGCAGACCTCTAATGTCTTGAGGCAGTTCTTCATACTTTGAGCACCTCGAACACTTCTCTGATAATCACGATACATAATAACATTCCTGACCAATTCGGGATCACCAAACGATATCGCTTCGTGACTTACTGACCACATTCCTCAATCCGTACGATAAATTCGATGAAAATGGGGACGGAATGAATAAGAATAGGAAATTCCAAAAATCGAATACCTTTGTTTTGTGCGTCTGCATTTGCTCCTCGTTTCAGAAGTTCGAATGCACACTGTTTGTGGCCCATTGTTACAGCAAGCATCAACGGCGTTCTATAATACAATTTTGAGCAACAGCGACCAATAAGACATGATCAATCGCTGTGGAATAGGGCTTGTTCTCGATGTTTATACGAAAACGGGATCCATTTTGCAAGCGTACCCGGTCCAAAAAAAACGATAAAGGGTCACCAAAATTAAAGCAATGGTTACTCTTTCCTCAAACCTCCATCAGCTAAATCTGCTGAAGACGTTCATGGCTCCTTCGGCTAACTTTTGGCAGTGGATTTGATACCTCTCGAACAAACTTTTCACATATAATCCAAAGAGAATTGGATGAAGCAGAATTCGAAACATCAATTATTGAAGCGGTCGAATAGTGGTTATTTTCGCCCGTAATGATCACGTTTTCTAGCGCTTATTTTTGTAACGATGGCAATCGGCAGCAATCGCGATATGGACTTCGAGGCTTGAGATCAAAATCCACTGTAAACCGTGATGTGATGCGCGTGGTCGCGGAGCAGCTATGCTCACCGCCTCGCAACCGCGCGCGTCGTATCGTGGCGTACACCAAATTTTGATCAATGAATGTGGTCACACCTGTTGAGGCAAATTAATGGAATAAACATTTAAATCAACTCCACTTGCCTCCCGCGACAATCCAATTTCTCCAATTGGTCGGGCTCGGATTCATCTAACACCTTTTTCAGTTCTTCTACATCATCGAGATATACGAGTCTGTGAAGGGGAAACTCCGATTCTAGCATTTGACGGGACATCGGCACGCAGCGGCTCAAAACCCTACAAAAACATTATTACAACCAGGGATTCGGAAGAATTCACTGACGGCGAAGAGAATCAATGGTGGGAAATTGCTATTACGAAAAAATGAATCACCCGCGAATTCGTTTAGGCAGCACCGCTTCATATGCTGAGAAAAATATACTTTATCCATTATGACAGAAAAGGCAAGAAAGAAAGAAGTCTGATATGTATTCTGGCTCATCAAAGTTGTGCAATGTATAGGCTTCTGGACGTTTTTTGGGCGATTTTGACGCGAAACTAACTTGCATACCACCTAGTTCGCACCGCAGAGCCCAGAAAAAAAAAAGAACTATGAGAAGCGGAAGAACCACAGGGCTATTGAGAAGTGAAATATCAACGTAACAGTGCCGAAAGGACATCAACGTCCGCCACGAAAAAAATGCTTATTGATTTGGGATAACGTCGAACAATATGGCACAGTATTGATGCTCAACGTATGACAAATAAAAATAGGCAGCACGCGCCAGAAACAGCGCAGCCGAATGATAAAGACCGCCAATTTCATGGATTTTCCAAACAACTGCGCCGTGGAGCACAGACAGCGAGAGTGGGTGTCATTTCAGTGCCAAATATGCAAATGAACAATGTGGAAATGGGTTATAAAGTGGAAAATGGTCGGAACGGAGCAAAAATCGCAAAACAGACTTGTGAAGCTCAGTGGCCGCCGCAAATGTGCTGAACAACAAGTTCGTGGTTATTTGGAGAACAAACAAACAACAACTATCAATATCGAGTACTAGCATGAATAAAGCACTCCCTCCAATTGCAGAAGTAGATGTAGACTGAGGACTTTGGACGATTGTTATTGAACAGATGCACTCGTTGGTGGTAATAACGGCAGTGTTACTCGCCAGAGGACGAATATCTTCTATTATCGATGTTTTTCATTCATCGGAGGCGGTTTGAACAAACACCTGACATACCGGACGCACCTTGTACACTGCGAATATTAAGAAAAAGTTTATCTACAGAGATTTTTTGCAGCCAATTTCTCGAGAACGGTTTCGTCCTGCTCTTAGCGGAAGCACAACTGTGCCGCGGAGCCCAGACAATGAGAGTGCGACAACATACCACACAGAGGCCCGCAGTATCGATTGGTGTAGATCATTACCATAAAAAAGCTAGAAAACGACAACATTCATGCCACCTCTATGATAACAGACAATGAACAACTTCCACACAAATTTGACAAGAAAAAGTCATAGTCCTCCAGTCGGGGCCAAAAAAAGGACCACCGGATTGCTCTGCGGAAAGGATCGCAAAAAATGCAGGCAGAAACCAGGCCGGCTTGGGTACTGCAGCGGCTTCCTGAGTGTGGTAGTCCGATAGCACCGACTGCGCTCATACTGTATGGTAAGGCCGATGTCAGACTTTGCGAATCGCGCGATTCGCTAGCGTCCGCGGTCGCGTTGCGGTACCAGCCAATTGAGTGATTCACTGGCCGCGACGCGACCGCAGACGCTAGCGAATCGCGCGATTCGCAAAGTCTGACATCGGCCTAAGGATGAAGTCTATCTTAAAAGGAGGAGCGTTTTCGTGTATAGTCGAGAGTCGTACTGAGAACCAGTACAGAAGCTTCTGGTCACCCAGTAAGAGGGGGCATGTGGTGGGACAGTTTCATCTCGGCTGAAGTAATTCAGTTTTTAGCAGGGAGGGAAGCTTCGAGCTGGGCGTGAAAATGAAAGCGAAATAGTTCGTACCCTCAAGAGATTTCCTCCCCTTGCAAAAATTCGATTTCCTGTAGCAGGAGCAACTGTCGCAAAATTTGCCCCCCCCCCCTCCTCCCATGCTGGATAAGACCAAAATTTTTTTAATTGTGAGAAATAGTCCCCATCAAGCTTTTTTTCACTGTGGAAACTAGTGCCCATGAAGCTTCCTTTTTGCACAGAACTAGCTCACCCGCCCCGGAGCTCCTTCGTCTTTCCAAAATTGGAAACGCTGTTTTCCGCACAAAAACACCCCACTTCGCTCCTTATTAAGGTAGACCCTAGGGAAACCAGTTTTGATCAACTCACCCTCCTCTCTTCTTTGGAATTTTACAGCCTCTAGGACATGGCTTGTAGGGAAGTCGTTGAATTCGTGATGTGTTTCCCATGCACAGCGGATTATGCCTTTTGTCTAAACGATTACTTCAACTGCAGCAGGAAGTCCAGCGTTAAAACTTTTCCAACGACTTCAAATGAAGCACACAACTCCGCAAGTGCTGCGTGGCGCTGTGCCAACACAATCCGCACGGGACCGGAATATCTGGCAAGGCGCCAGCCGCGATCGATAGCCGGTTGCGATGCCCCGGCTCTCAGCGAAAACACGTGCCAGGCCAGCATTCACTCTCGCTCTCTGTCGCTCTGCGTCTTGGTCGCTATAACATGCTCTAAGCGGCTTTTGATGCTGGGTCTCTGGACAACGAGTGCTCTCCAAATACTGTCTCGTCGTCTGCGCATCTGGTTCGTCTCACTATGTCGTGTCTGGCCTCGGCGGCTGACCTCCGCCGTTTACATTCTCTCTCCGGTACCGTCTGCGCGGCGGTCGCATCCTTACTCCCTTTATTTCTCCTCTTCACTTACATTTCGAAATCTAAAGTTTCCATTCATTGATGATATAGGTTGATCGGGCTTTGTCTGATAATTGAGTAGACGAGAAAGTACCACAAAGACGGCGATGATCGCGTTGAGAATCGCTGCGTAGCGTTTGGTCCGTTTGACGGCCGGGATTTAGTCTTCAGTTCATGTCTTTTTGCTGCAGCGCCTGCCTATGGTTGAAACACCTGTCAAGTTGATATTGGCAGCAATTGGATCGGTTAGTCAAAATTGGGGACAAGTTTGGGTGCTGCGCTATGGTTTTGACTCAGCGTCGCTTTTCACACACCGGTTTTGGGGCAGATGCCGTGCAATCTCTGCAGAATGTTTGCTGTCTTAGTGAGGTTGACAATCGGAACCGATTTGATTTTTGCAGAGCTCCTTTCTTTGAATAACTTAAAAGCTCCTTTCGAATTCAATAAGATACCGTCGCTGCAGTTTTTATTGCGGCAGCAGCATATGGTGTGGTGCTTCGACACCGAATCAAACCAATTAGAATGGCATTTTGATGGGTGCCGGTCACGCCCCGAGTGAAAACCTAACAAGCTTATAACGATTGCAGCTGGAAGAAGCCCTGAGTCGAGGTTGAGACCGTTCTAAAATATGTTGGTTGTTTTTCTGGTCATTTTTAACAAAAAAGGCCGTTGTGGACGCGTGCGATGCGTACGATTAAAGGACTGCACCACAAACAGTGCGTAGTGGTCCACGACAAAGGAATGGCTGACAAGTTCTAACTTGTAGCTAGCGAAATATCATCGAGTCTCGTATTCGAGCGTCCCCCATCGTAGTTATTTCTCACAGTAGCGGGGGTATGTTTCACATCAGATTAGGAAGTGTTTGACAGTGTGGTTGGAATGGTCATATGTCCATTACTTTATCAAGGAGGCCAAATAAAACGGAACTCAACTGCAAGCACGTAAAAATAACCAATTTTAAATAAGTCCAACAGCATTTTAGAGTGATTTCAATACGCGGTTACGGATGTATTGAACCATAGTACGGTTGTAGATAGCCTTGTTTATAAGAGTATAAGAATAAGGTTTGTAATTGGGGAATAAAATCGTCAGTGAGCTCTAGGATACCGTATCATGTTGTACTTTTCGAAAAATGCCACCATGATTTCCAGGTACTGCTTGAACGTTTGTCGTTGTACAGAAGCGCTCGTCGTCTCTGCGACTGAATCTGCTTCGAGCGGCTTTTCTGGCGGAACAAAGTTAATCAAGTGGTGAGGTTTTTTTGCTTTCAAAATAAAATCAATATTCTGGCAAGAGTTTCTGTGTTGAATACGTTCTGAAATGCCGAGAAGAGCGTATGAGTGTTTGCGTAATGGCTTAGAAGTGGTGGGCCTATTTTATGGCAGAATTTGTGACGCGTTGTGAAGGAGTTTCGGGGAGAACTCTCAAGGGAAATATAAGAAGGAGTTTTATCGCGGGATGTTGCAGCGCAAAAGTCATCAAGGGTACTTACATGATTTTAAGTTTCCAGTTTACACTTCAAGTGGTGAGTATAGCGTTATGGGGAATGTTTGAATTTTCTTTTTTACTG